GAATGAGGTTCACCTGATGCTTTAGGGCCTAGGATGTCTCGATATCCCTGCACCTTGTGATCCACCCGGCTCGGCGACCCAAAGTGCTGGGATTACCAGGGCTTAAGCCCCCACTGCTGCCTGGGCCAAACTTTTTTTTTTTTTTTTTTGAGACAGAGTTTCAGTCTGTTACCCAGGCCACGGACGTTGCAATGGTGCAATCCTCAGCTGCACCTGCAACCTCCAGCCTCTGGGCTGTCAACGCGATTCTCCTGCCTCAGCCTTCCAAGTAGCTGGGATTACAGGCACATGCCACCACACCTAATTTTTGTATTATTAGTGGAGACAGGGTTTCACCATGTTGGCCAGGCTAGTCTTGAACTCCTGACCTCAGGTGATCCACCCACCTCGGCCTCCCCAAGTGCTGGGATTACAGGGGTGAGCCACCATGCACAGCCCAAACATATTTTTGATAGATACTTTTAAGGCCTTCTCTGCTGATTCAACTTCTGAGTCATCTTGGGGTCTGTTTCTGTTGACTGCTTTTCTCCTTTACTATATGTCCCATTTCCCATTTACAATATACATGTCTGTTGTATACTAAACATTTTGAATGATAAAAGTTGTAGACTCTGGCTTCTGTTGTTATTTACTGAAAAGTGTTGGTTTTTGTTCTGGCAGGCAATTCTCTTTGAGTTTATGGAAAATTCATTTTATCCAATGTTAGGCTGGGTCTAGGAAAAGACCTTTCAACTTGTATACAGTATAACTAGGAGGTCCAACTTCATTATTTTGCATGTGGCTATTTGATTATCCCAGCACCACTTGTTGACCATTCAGTAGTCTTGGTACTCTTGTCAAAAAACAATTGACTGGTCAGGGTGCAGTGGCTCAGGCCTGTAAATCCCAACACTTTGGGAGGCTGAGGTCAGGAGATTGAGATCAACCTGACCAACATGGTGAAACCCCATCTCTACTAAAAATACAAAAATTAGCCAGGCATGGTGGCGTGCACCTGTAATCCCAGCTACAGGGAGGCTGAGGCAGGAGAATCATCACTTGAATCTGGGAGGCAAAGGTTACAGTGAACCAAGATTGCACTACTCCAGCCAGGGCAACAGAGTGAGACTCCATCTCAAAAAACAAACAAACAAACAAATAAAAAACAATTGACCAAATGCTTGCCTATTGTGATTTTTTTTTTAAGTAATTTAAAAAAAAATCAATTGACCATAGATGTGTTTATTTCTGAACTTGCAATTCTATCTATATGTCTAACCTTATGCTAACACCACACTGTCTCGATTATTACTGCTTTGTAGTAAGTTCTGAAATAATTGGAAAGTACTGAGTCCTCTAAATATGCTCATCATTTTCAATATTGTTTTTTCATATTCTAGGTTCCTTATAACCCCATATAATTTTTTTTTCTTAGACAAGGTCTGGCTCTGTTGCCCAGGCTGGAGTGCAGTGGTGCAATTTCAGCTGACTGCAATCTCTGCCTCCTGGGCTCAAGCAATTCTCCCACCTCAGCCTCCCAAGTAGCTGGGACTACAGATGCACACCACCACACCAGATAATTTCTGTAGAGACGGGGTTTTGCCACATTGCCCAGCTGGTCTTAAACTCCTGAGCTTAAGCGATCCACCTGCTTCAGCCTCCCAAAGTGCTGAGATTACAGGCATGAACTGCCATGTCCAGGCAGCTTCATGCTTTCTATATCTGGGTCTTTTTTTCTTCTTGAGATGGAGTTTTGCTCTTGTTGTCCAGGCTGGAGCGCAGTGGTATGATCTCTGGTTGCTGCAACCTCTGCCTTCCAGGTTCAAGCAATTCTCCTGTCTCAGCCTCCTTAGTAGCTGAGATTACAGGCACCCACTACCACACACAGCTAATTTTTGTATTTTTAGTAGAGATGGGGTTTCATCATGTTGCCTAAGCTGGTCTACAACTCCTAACCTCAAGTGATCCACCCTCCTTGGCCTCCCAAAGTGCTGGGATTATAAGCGTTAGCCACCACACCTGGTCTGTTTCTTTTAAAAACATATTTCGAGCCAGGCACGGTGGCTCACGCCTGGTATCCCAGCACTTTGGGAGGCTGAGGCGGGAAGATCATTTCAGGTCACGAGTTCAAGACCAGCCTGGCCAACATCCAATATGGTGAAACCCTATCTCTACTAAAAATACAAAAACTAGTTGAGCGTGGTGGCACATGTCTGTCATCCCAGCTACTCAGGAAGTGAGGCAAGAGAATCTCTTTTACCTGGGAGGTGGAGGTTGCAGTGAGCCGAGATGGTGCTACTGCACTCCAGCCTGGGCAACAGAGACTCTGTCTCAAAAACAAAAAACAAAAACCACAAGCTTCTAAACATGTTAACTATGGCTCATGCCTGAAATCCCAGCGCTTTAGGAGGCCAAGGTGGGTGGATCGCTTGAGCACAGCAGTTTGAGACCAGCCGGGACAACATGGCAATACCCCGTCTCTACAAAAACTACAAAAATTAGCCAGGCATAGCAGTGTACACCTGTGGTCCCAGAAACTTGGGAGGCTGAGTTGGTAGGATCGTTGGAGCCCAGGAAGTCGAGGCTGCAGTGAGCCGTCATCATGTCACTGCACTTAGGTCTTGGTGACACCCTGTCTCAAAAAAATAAATATTAAAGAATAAAATAAGCTGGGCATGGTGGCTCACGCCTGTATCCCAGCACTTGGGAGGCCAAGGTGGGGCAGATCACTTGAGGTCAGGAGTTCGAGACCAGCCTGTCAACATGGTGAAACCCCATCTCTACTAAAAATATGAAAATTAGCTGGGCGTGGTGATGCGTGACTATAGTCACAGCTACTAGGGAGGCAGAGGTGAAAGAATCACTTGAACCTGGGAGATGGAGGTTGCAGTTAGCTGAGATCGTGCCAGTGCACTCCAGCCTGGGCTACAGAGCAAAACGAACGAAAGGGAGGGAGGAAGGAGAGGATGGGAAGGAGGAGAAGGAAGGGGAGGTGGAGGGTATAAGGGAGTGGTGAGGGAAGGGGATGGGACGGGAATAGGAGGAGGGATGGGAGGAGAGGGAGGGAAGGGGAGGGGAAGGGAAGGAAGGGAGGGTAGGGGAGGGAGAAAGGAGGGGAGGGAGAGGGAAGGGCAAGGGGTAGGGGAAATGGGGAAGGGAAGGGAAGAGGGAAAGGGAAGGGAGGGGAGGGAGGAGGGAAAGGGAGGGGAGAGGAGGGAGGGGGAAGGGAGGGAGGAGAGGGGAGGGAACAGGAGGCGGAAGGAAAAGAAAGGCATGATCCAGGAGAAAATATTTTGAACAAATATTTCAAATGGAGCAATCCTTTATTTTTACACACGTTGACGAGGAGGTTTTCCGTAAACAACCTTTCCAGTGGAGAACAGAGAACGGGAAAATCAGCCTCCAGACATCACCAGCTGCTCTGCTCAGGGCCGAGGCTCCTCCTTGCCAATGTGGTGAGGTGGAGGGGTGTACTTCCCTTCCTTTATCAGCTTATCCCGCTGCCTCCTGATGGCACCCACACGTCTTATCTGTCAAAGGAAAACGGCAATTAAACTGAGGGAGGAGATATGTGCCATAAAGTGAGAACTGGAAAAACTGACATCAATTTTGGTTTCATTTTTAAACTACAGAAGGCCTTTCATCTTACAGGGCCTCTGAAATGAAGTCTGCCTTCAAAGAATTAACATGAAATCACTTCCCAAGCTTTCAAACAAATTTTTAGTATATATAACCTCTCTGAAAACTAACAACTAAAATGTTCTTAATATATATAGCAATACAGATATTTGCAAAAACCTTTAAGAGGCATATTTGTGTACACTAAAATCTTTTAAAATATTAAAAGTTAATCCCAGCACTTTGGGAGACTGAGGCAGGTGGATAACTGAGGTCAGGAGTTTGAGACCAGACTGGCCAACATTGTGAAACCCTGTCTCTACTAAAAATACAAAAATTAGCCGGGGATCGTAGTGCACATCTGTAATCCCAGCTACTGGGGAGGCTGAGGCAGGAGAATCACTTGAACTTGGGAGGTTGAGGTTGCAGTGAGCCAAGATTGCACTGCTGCACTCCAACCTGGGTGACAGAGCAAGATTTTGTCTCAATAAGTAAATAAATCAATAAAAGCTGGGCTGGGCGTGGTGGCTCATGCCTGTAATCCCAGCACTTTGGGAGGCCGAGGCGGGCAGATCACGAGCTCAGGAGTTCGAGACCAGCCTGGCCAATATGGTGAACCCCCGTCTCTACTAAAAATACAAAAATTAGCCAGTCATGGTGGCGCGCGCCTGTGGTTCCAGCTATTTGGAAGGCTGAGGCAGGAAAATCGCTTGAACCTGGGAGGTGGAGGTTGTAGTGAGTCAAGATCACGGTATTGCACTCCAGCCTGGGCGACAGAGTGAGACTCTATCACAAAAAAAAAATAAAATAATAAAATAAAATAAATAAAAAAAAGTTGAGACAACCTCAGCACTTACATATTCTATGCGGAAGTGGCACTGCTGCTGGTGACTATGCAATGGGTATGAATGAAGCAGAAATAGCCAATATGAGGTCTCTTTTCTCCATATGGAAGTAAAGGCCTGATTCTTACTCATCCACTAGTCACCGCTGAGTCCTGAATTCTGTCTCTTCTACTCAGATAGGGCATTGGTTGCTTCTCAACAAATCAAAGCTATGTTACACCAAAGCCACAACAATGAACTGGTCCCTAGGTTCTGTGACGTAGAAAATTTACTAATTCTGATCGCACTATTCCTCTGCTCAAAACCCTCCAATGGCTTTCTATGTTAGTGAGACAAAAAGATGAATCCTTACCATGGCTTACAAGGCCTCCTGCAGCGACTTCATCTCTTAATTTTCCCCTAGCTCCCTCCAGTCGGCTCAGGGACCTTTGCACTTGCTGTTTTCTCTGCATGGAACATTCTTCCTTCATATCCATGTGGCTCGCTTTCTTTAATTCTCTGGTCTTCTTTTGCTGAGCTCTTCTCTGACTACCCTATTTAAAGTAGCATCCACCTAGCTCCTGCCCCTAGCACTTTCTATCCTTCTCCTGTTTATTCTCCTCATAGTACTTCTTATTACCTGTATTTTTACTTGTTATTTTTCTGCCCTTCCTCCCACTGTAGCATAAGTTCCACCGAGTCAGAGAGTTTTTTGCTGTTTTGCTTACTGTATTCCTAGTGCCTAGACTAGTTCCTGACATAAATTTTTTAACAAATGACTAACTTTTCACAAAGATATGAAAAATTCATATATTCAGTTAAACATCTCATTAACCTTAAAGAAGTAGTGTTGCTGTAACTTCAGTAGAAAAAAACCCTGATATAAACATTAAACATTTTAAAAGACTACTTTCTTACCATTTATCTTAGAGTCTCCCAGCACAAGACTAGTCATGGTTTTGAACTATGACAATACCATATTTCAAATCTTCCTCTGAGCTAAAAGCAGTAACTCTGGATAAAAGGATAGGTTTTGAAGCCAGCCTTGCCAGGATAAAATCCCAGCTCCACCATTTACTAGCTATGTAAGTTCAGGCAATGTCCTTAACTTTTCCTTGCCTTAAATTTTGTTTGTTCATCTGTTTGTTTTTTTTGAGACGGAGTTTCGCTCTTGTTGCCCAGACTGGATGGAGTGCAGTGGCGTGATCTCAGCTCAGTGCAACCTCCGCCTCTCGGGTTCAAGTGATTCTTCTGCCTCAGCCTCCTGAGTAGCTGGGATTACAGGCACCCCCTCACCATACTCAGCTAATTTTTTGCATTTTTAGTAGAGAGGGGGTTTCACCATGTTAGTCAGGCTGGTCTCGAACTCCTGACCTCAGGTAATCCATCCACCTTAGCCTCCCAAAATTAAATTTTTAACTGTGTAATGGGGAAACTAATAGTAACTCATTTCATAGAATTATTGTGAGAAATAAATGCATTATAATATGCTAAGAACTTACAATAGGACTTGATTCTAATTCTCTGACTCAAGAGCTTCTTCACTTACGGGGAGGTATCTATTCACTTAAGGTGACCCCATTTTCAGGCTGAGGCAGGAGGATGACTTGAGCCTAGGAGCTCGAGAGTGCAGTAAGCTATGATCACGCTACTGCTCTCCAGCCTAGGTGACAGAACAAGACCCTGTCTCAAAAACACCACTAACAGGATGGGTGTGGTGGCTCACACCTGTAATCCCAGCACTTTGGGAGGCCAATGTGGGATCGCTTGAGCCCAGGAGTTTAAGACCAGCCTAGGCAACACAGGGAGATCCCATTTCTATTTTATATACATAAAATCAAAATTAGGGCCAGGTGCAGTGTCTCACACCTGTAATCACAGCACGTTGGGAGGCCAAGGCAGGGAGATCACTTGAGCTCAGAAGTTCAAGATCAGTATGGGCAACATAGTGAAACCTTGTCTCTACTAAAATACAAAAAATTAGCTGGGCGTGGTGGTGCACTCCTGTAGTCCCAGCTACGTGGGAGGCTGAAGTGGAAGAATCACCTGAGCCCAAGTTGAGGCTGCAGTGAGCCGTGAACATGTAACCGCATTCCAGCCTGGGCGATGGGAGTGAGACGCTGTCTCAAGATATAAATTAAAAATAACCAACCAACAACAAATGAGTGGTGGCAGAACCAGCATCAGAAGCTGACTCTCCTAACTCCCAATACAATGTTTTTTCTACCTTACTACAATGCCTCCTGTTGGTATCAATTCATAAAAATCTTTTTATTTTTCCCTTTTTTTTTTCTTGAGATGGAGTCTCGCTCTGTCGCCCAGGCTGGAGTGCAGTGGCGCGATCTCACTGCAAGCTCCACCTCCTGGGTTCATGCCATTCTCCTGCCTCAGCCTCTCGAGTAGCTGGGACTATAGGCGCCAGCCACCATGCCCGGCTCATTTTTTTGTACTTTTAGTAGAGATGGTATTTCACCATGTTGGTCAGGCTCTGGTCTCCGAACTCCTGACCCTCATGATCCACCCTGCCTCGACTTCCGACTTCCCAAAGTGCTGGGATTACAGGCCTGAGCTACTGTGCCCGGCCATCTTTTTTTTTTTTTTTGAGTGGAGTCCTGCTCTGTTTGCCCAGACCTGGAGTGTAGTGCGTGGATTCTCAGCTCACCGCAACCTCTGCCTCTTGGTTTCAGGCAATTCTCTTGCCTACCTCCTGAGTAGCTGAGATTACATGCCCTGTCACCATGCCTGGGTAATTTTTGTATTTTTAGTAGGCGCGAGGTTCACCTTGTTGGCCAGGGCTGGTCTGAAACTCCTGATCTCAGGTGATCTGCCCGCCTTGGCTCCCAAAGTGTTGGGGATTACAGGCATGAGCCACTTTTTTTTTTTGAGACAGAGTCATCTGCTCTGTCGCCCAGGCTGGAGTGCAGTAACAGCATGACCTCGGTTCACTGCAACCTCCACCTCCCAGGTTCAAGCATTCTCCTGTCTCAGCCTCTCCGAGTAGCTGGACTACAGCGCGTGCCACCATGCCCAGCTAATTTTTGTATTTTCCAGTAGAGACAGGGTTTCACATATTGCACCAGGGTTGGTCTCAACCTCCTGACCTCGTGATTCACCAGCTTGGCCTCCCAAAGTGCTGGGATTAACAGGCTTGAGCCCACGGTGCCCCTGGCCAACTCATTCAACTTTTGGAGGGATGAAACTAAGCTGTTAACATCCTTTTCCACTGCATTCATGTTCAGCTCATGTACCACGCAATCTCATTACACCTCCATCTTCTTCAGAGTGGAATGAATCCAGAGATTTGAAATGTAATGGATTTGCAAGGGTTTAAACCTCCTTGTTGGATTCCAATGAATTTGAAATATTTCACCCAAAGAATTTCAGGGTCAACATTCACAAACAAGGCTAGTTGATATTCTCTGCTTCGACAAGCCCACACTGAAAAAATGGGTATACACCACACGATTGCAACTTTTTAATCCTATGGCTAGAGCAGGGTAAAATACTAAGGAAAATTTGGGAGAAGAGAAAGAATGCTGAGGAACAGTGGGGGCCATCCTCCATATCTGAAGGTATTTAATTTCCTCATCATGGTACCAAAGTAGGAAAGGTATTTCACCAGAAAGCTTGCCAATTCACATTTGGCAAGCCACTCCGCTAATGACCACTAAAAACACTTACAGAGTAATCCCAAAGGAGCCGGGCATGGTGGCCACGCCTATGATCCAGTACTTGGGAGGCCGAGGCGGGATGATCACCTGAGTCAGGATTCAGCAAGCCTGGTCAGCATGGTGGAAACCCCATCTCTACTAAAAATACAAAAATTTAGCCGGGCGTGTGGCCAGGCACCCTAATAATCCAGCTACTCGGGAGTGGAGGGCCAGGACAAATCGCCTGAACCTGGGAGGCAGAGGCTGCAGTGAGCTGAGGTCGCACCATCGCACACCAGCCTAGGGGACAAAAGCAAGACTTCGTCTTTAAAAAAAAAAAAATCCCAAAGGAACAAGAAAGTAATTCAGCTTCCACCTCCATCACTTCCTTACCGTTTTCTGCCGAAGCAAACACTCTATAAAATCATCATATTCTATCTTGCACTCTTTCTCTGCCCGGATAGCACCAATTCCATGTGCACATTCTATCCATTCTTTTTCAAAAGCACGGCATCGAGGAGCAATCTTGTAGGGCTGTTCAGCACTCTGGATTGTCCACCATCGATCTATGTTAAGGCCGAACCTTTTCTGGATGTCCAAGAAAGGCATGGCTGTAATGGAAGACTTAAAAAAATAAGTAAATAAAATCCCACAAGAAGGCAATCAACTAAGAAATTTCTAAGAAAAAATTAGATAATCATGATAAGTAGCCCTCTAGAACACTGTTTGATATTATTCTCCTGATTTCTTCTCACCAAACTTTTTCATTAAATAGCTTCTTCCAGTTTATGGCAGATAAGCAGTTTTTGTGCTTTTTCAAAACTCAAGGAAAAGATAATTATAACTAAAGAACAATGCATAGAAATCCTTTCTAGGTCGGGAGCAGTGGCTCACCCATCATGTGAGATGGAGTCTCGGTCTGTCACCCAGGCTGCAGTGCATGGCGAGATCTCGGCTCACTGCAACCTCCACCTTCTGGGTTCAAGTGATTCTCCTGCCTCAGCCTCCCAAGTAGCTGGGACTACAGGTGCACGCCACCACACTCGGCTAATTTTTGTACTTTTAGTAGAGACGGGGTTTCAGTATGTTGGCGAGGCTGGTCGGTCTCAAACTCCCGACCTCAGGTGATCAGCCCGCTTTGGCCTCCCAAAGTGCTGGGATTACAGGTGTGAGCCACTGCGCCGGGCCTAAAAAACTTTTTTTTAATTAGCCACTTGTGGGCCAGGCGCGGTGGCTCACGCCTATAATCCCAGCACTCTGGGAGGCCAAGGTGGGTGAATCACCTAAGGTCAGGAGTTCAAGACCAGCCTGGCCAATATAGTGAAACCCCATTTCTACTAAAAATACAAAAATTAACCAGGCGTGGTGGTGGGCACCTGTAGTCCCAGCTACTCCTAAGGCTGAGGCAGGAGATTGAGGCCAGGAGTTCAAGGCTTCAGTGAGCTATGACCTGGACACTGCACTCCATCCTGGGCAACAAAGGGAGATCCTGTCTCAAAAACAAAACAAAACAAAACAAAACCCAGAGTGAAAGAAATGGGTTAAGACTTACTTTGTAGAATATAACAGATATTAGGGAAAAAAAAATTTATATGCAAATACATAATAATGTTAAATGTAAAAAAAAACAGTATTCCCAAAAAAAAAAAAAAAAAAGCCTCACTGCCTAAGTTGACTGAAAGGAAGCGCGTGCGCAGACTCACAAATATCAATATAAATGTGTACTCATGGTAGATGTAAAGGTGAATTTAGCCGGGCGCAGTGGCTCACACCTGTAATCTCAGCACTCTGGGAGGCCGAGGCGGGCGGATCACCTGAGGTTGAGAGTTCAAGACCAGCCTGACCAACATGGCGAAACCCCGTCTCTACTAAAAAACAATACAAAATTAGCCAGGCGTGGGGGCGCATGCCTGTAATCCCAGCTACTACGGAGGCTGAGGCAGGAGAATCGCTTGAATCTGGGAGGCGGAAGTTGCCATGAACCGAGATTGCGCCATTGCACTCCAGCCTGGGCAATAAGAGCGAAACTCCATCTCAACAAAAAGGTGAATTTAACTTCTAAAGTTCCTTCCCATCCCTCAGGCATCATTTACTGAGGAGTTACGTTCCAGGCACTCAGATGCGGGGGAAAGCAGCTCCAACGTAAGCACCAGAGACACACACACTCGGAACTGGGAATACACTGCAAGGAACACGAGTGGGTAAGAGCTCGAAGGAGGAAGCACCAACTCTGCCCGGAGACTTGAAAATGCCTTTAAGATGGCTTGCGAGTTAGCCAAGTGAAGATCAATGGGCAGAGTGTTCCAGTTGGGCAAGAGCCCGAGTTACAGACAGCCGCAGGCGCTGGGTACGTTTGGGGGACAATGGAGCGCAGCGTGCATGACGGGAAAAAGAATGAAATGAGCTCAGGAGGTTGACGGGGCCGAAATCACGCAGAGCTTAGAAAGCTGGGATAAGGATCGTAGACTTTAGGTTAAGAAACAGAAAACCAAAACATTAGTCCGGCAAAAACCTAAACAAATCTAGAAAGTGGAGAGAGCGGCAATCTCCAGGCTTCGGTGCCATTAGCTGTGGAGGTGAAGTGGCCTGGGAGGGCAGGGAACACGCCCTGAGTTCGGGTCTGGGAGAAGGGGACACACAGCAAGTCAAGAGGAAATCTGTTAAAGAGACCTCGGAAGGAAGGTCCTTGACCTAAACTGACGCGCGGATATAAACAGCCCCTACCGATCCGATGCTCGTACCCTTGTCTCTTCTCTGGCCGCCGCTTCAGGACGACTAGCTTGCGACGCGGACGCCTGCCGTAAAGGATAACCTCAGCGCGACGTTTGCAGCGCGACGCCGGAAGCTGACCTTCCCTCAGCAGTCTCTCCCGAAAACCATAGAAACCAAGCCCCTTGGCCTGGTATGGTGGCTGACGTCTGCAATCCCAGCACCTTGGAAGGCTGAGGCAGGAAGATCGCTTTAGCCCAGGAGTTCGAGACCAGCCTGGGCAACATGGCGAAACTCCCTACAAAAAATAAAAAATTACCGGGCATGGTGGTGCATGCCTGTGGTTCCAGCTACTCAGGAGGCTGAGGTGGGAGGATCCCTTGAGCCCAGGAGATCACGGCTGTAGTGAGCCATGATCACACCATTCCATTGCATTCCAGCCCTGGCAGCACAACAAGACCTTATCTCAGGGGGAGACAGCGAGAGCGAGAGAGAGAGAGAAAGGAAGAAGAAGAGAGAGAGGAGGGAGAGAGAGAAAGAAAAGAAACCAAACCCATCAATTATAGAGACACAGGAAAGGCCTAGTCATTAGTGAGTTCTTGCTCCTTTCTTGCACTGTGCCTAGCATGCTCATGCCAACACTGACTGGTGAGAGACTTCACCAAAGTCACAGGAGAGAAAGAACACTGGCTCCCTGCCTGCCTACTAGTGGTTAAGCACATGGACTATGAACCCAAACCACCACGTGGGTCAAATGTAGGCCCCCCAGCCGGTCGCAGTGGCTCAGGCCTGTAATCCCAGCACTTTGAGAGGCCGAGGTGGACCTTGAGCTCCGGAGATCAAGACCATCCTGGCCAATATGGTGAAACTCTGTCTCCACTAAAAATACAAAACTTAGCTGGGCGTGGCAGCAAGTGCCTGTAATCCCAGCTACTGGGAGGCTGAAGCAGGAGAATCACTTGAACCCAGGAGGCAGAGATTGCAGTGAGCCGAGATTGCGCCACTGCACTCCAGCCTGGCGACAGAGCTAGACTCCGTCTCAAAAAAAAAAAAAAAAAAAATGTAGACCCCCCACCACCAATTTCATGTGACCCTAGGAAAGTTTCTTAACTTCACTGTGCCTCAGTCTCCTCATCTGTTAAGATAATTATGGTACTCACAATGGAGGGCTGCTATAGGGATTAACTGATTTATGTATAAAGCACTGAGGCAGTGGCTAGCACACGGGAAACATTCCAAGGCAGTCGCAGTTCTTTGATGTCTCAGCTTTCAGTTTGTGAATCAGCTGCTCCCATGCCTGTCATCTGTTCCAGAACCTCCAATGACTCCCTTTGACTACATCAGAGACTCTAAAGTGCTGTGTATATGTCTTTGGGGGGTGGACCACAGGGTGCATGAGATATTATACATTGGAGGTATGGGAGGAAAATACTAGAACATATATGTGTATATATAATTATTATTGTTGAGACAGGGTCTCACTCCCATTGCCCCACTGGAGTGCAGTGGTACAATCACAGTTCACTGCAGCCTCAACCTCCTCGAGCTCTGGTGATCCTCCCACCTCAGCCTCCCAAATAGCTGGGACCACATGTGCACGCCACCACGCGCCTGGCAGTCTTTATTATTATTGTCATCTTATTTGAGATAAGGTTTCACTCCATCACCCAGGCTGGAGTGCAGTAGTGCTATCATAGCTCACTGCAGCCTCAAACTCCAGGGCTCAAGCAGTCTTCCTGCCTCAGCCTCCCAAGTAGCTGGGACTACAGACATACCACTGTGCTCAGCTAATTCTTTTTTTTTTTTTTTTTTGAGACAGAGTTTCGCTCTGTCACCAGGCTGGAGTGTAGTGGCGCGATCTTAGCTCACTGCAACCTCCACCTCCCAGGTTCAAGTGATTCTCCTGCCTCAGCTTCCCGAATAGCTGGGACTATAGGTGTGGGCCACCATGCCCAGCTAATTTTTGTATTTTTTTTAGTAGAGACGAGGTTTCACCATATTGGCCAGGATGGTCTCAATCTCTTGACCTCATGATCTGCCCGCCTTGGCCTCCCAAAGTGCTGGGATTACAGGCGTGAGCCACTGCGCCCAGCCAAGATAATTCTTTAAAAAATTTTTTTTGTGGAGATGAGGATCTCTCTATGTTTCCCAGGCTGGTCTCCACCTCCCGGGCTCAAGTGATCATCCTGCCTGGGCCTCCCAATGTGCTGAGATTACAGGCATGAGCCACCATGCCTGGCTCTTTTATACATTTTTTTTTTAACACCCTGAGAGAGAGTTGAGGGCAGGCTGCTTGTAAGGATGAGACAGCCTCTTTTATACATTATTAACCTAAGAAAAAATGGGGTGCCCTTGAAAGAGTTTTTTAAGATTAGAAAACAAGGGCCAGGTACAGTGGCTAATGCCTGTAATCCCAGCATTTTGGGAGGTTGAGGCAGGCAGATCACCTGAGTTCAGGAGTTCAAGACAAGCCTGGCCAATATGGTGATACCCTGTCTCTACTAAAAATACAAAAAAATTAGCCAGGCATGGTGGCGGGCACCTGTAATCCAAGCTACTTAGGAGGCTGAGGCAGGAGCATCGCTTGAACCCAAAAGGCAGAGGTTGCAGTGAACCGAGATCGCACCATTGCACTCCAGCCTGGGCAAGAAGACCGAAACTCTGTCTCAAAAAAAAAAAAAAGAAGAAGAAGAAGAAGAAGAAAGAAAACACAAGGAAGTCAGAAGGAGCCAAATCAGTACTGTAAGGTGGATGCCTAATGATTTCCCATCAAAACTCTTGCAAAATTGCCCTTGTTTGCTGAGAGGAATGAGCAGGAACATTGTCATAGTGGAGAATGACTCTCTGGTGAAGCTGTCCCAGGCATTTTTCTGCTAAAACTTTTGCTAGCTTTCTCAAAACACTCTCATAACAAGCAGATGTTATTGTTCTTTGGCCCTCCAGAAAGCCAATAAACAAAATGCCTTGAACATTCAAAAAAACGAATGTCATGACCTTTGCTCTTGACTGGTCCACTTTTGCTTTGACCAGACACTTCCACCTCTTGGTAGCCATTGCTTTGGTTGTGCATTGTCTTTAGGATTGTACTGGTAAAGCCATGTTTCATCTCCTGTTACAATTCTTCAGTGAAATGCTTCAGGATTTTCATCCTGCTTATTTAAAATTCCCATTGAAAGCTCTGCAGCTGATCTGGGCATGATGGTTTGGCACCTACCAAGTGGAATGTTTGCTCAACTTTAGTTTTTCAGTCAGAATCATGTAAGCCAAACCAAGTGAGATGCCTATCGTGTTGGTTATTATTCTGCTGGTGTCAACCCACTTCAGTTAGGACACATATTTTTCTCATAAATTGATGTGGATGGTCTGCCACTGTGGTTTTCATCTTCAACACTATTTCATCCCTTCTTTATTTTGTTTCTTTTTTGAGATGGAATCTTGCTTCGTTGCCCAGGCTGGAGTGCAATGGCGTGGTCTTGGCTCACTGCAACCTCTGCCTCTCGGGTTCAAACAATTCTCCTGCCTCAGCCTTCCTGGGTAGCTGGGATTATAGGTGCCCACCACCATGCCCAGCTAATTTTTGTATTTTTAGTAGAGATGGGGTTTCGCCATGTTGGCCAGGCTGGTCTTGAACTCCTGACCTCCGGTGATTCACCTGCCTCGGTATCTCAAAGTGCTGAGATTACAGGCATGAGCCACCACATCTGGCCAAGTATTCTTAAAGAAAATAAATACTATGAGTCTGTAGTAGAGCGACAGTCCAGCCTAATCTCATCCCTTCTTAAAAAAAATTATCTGGCCGGGTGCGGTGGCTCATGCTTGTAATCCCAGCACTTTGGGAGGCCGAGCAGGTGTATCACCTGAGGTCAGGAGTTCAAAATCAGCCTGTCCAACATGGCAAAACCCCGTCTCTACTAAAAATACAAAAATTAGCCAGGCGTAGCTGGGTGCAGTGGCTCATGCCTGTAATCCTAGCACTTTGGGAGGCCGAGGCGGGTGGATCACCTGAGACCTCAAGTTATCTATTTGTAAACTGCTGATTTCTTTGAGGCATTGTCCCCATAAGCTTTTCATAAAGCATCAATGATCTCACCATTCTTCCACCCAAGCTTAACCATAAACTTGATATTTATTCTTGCTTCAATTTTAGCAGAATTCATGTTGCTCTTAACAGGGGCTTGTTTCAAACTAATGTCTTATCCTTCATAGTGCCTCAAAGTAGATCCTGCTCAGACATGTTATAACAAGTTAGTACAAATTTATTGTGGTGCAAAAAGTTTTTGAAATCTATGCATAGTTTTTTCATAATACACATTTTTCATAAACTTTGTGAAGACCTCTTGTATGTCCAGCTGAATACTGCAGGACTATATAACTGGTAGCTCATGGCCCTTGCTCACGAAGTGCTAGTGGCAAGTTATCACTACATTTTCCAGTCCCCTGTCCCCTTTCTTGTTTGTTGATGGTGACATCTTCCCAGCCACTTAGGCAGCAAACCCTGGAGTTGTATTCTGCCTTTTCCTTTTCTTTCATCCAGTATTTAATTACAGCACAATTTCTGTCAAATATTCCTTCAACAAATTGCTAATTTATCTCTTCCTTCTTGTCTCCCAACTCCTCACTTCAATCTGTTCTGCATGACTCATCATCCTAAAACACAGATCTCATCATATCATTCCTCAGAAATACCATGCAGGGTTGGACATGATGGCTCATGTCTGTAATCCCAGCACTTTAGGAGGCCGAAGTGGATTGCTTGAGCCCAGGAGTTCAAGACCAGCCTGAGCAACATAGTGAGACCTCGTCTATATAAAAATAAAAATAAAAATAAATTAGCTGGGCATGGTGATGTGTTGCTTGTAGTGCCAGCTACTCAGGAGGCTGAGGCAGGAGGATCACTTGAGCCCAAAAGGTTGAGGCTGCAGTGAGCTATGATTGAGTTACTGAACTCCAGTCTGGGTGACAGAGCAAGACCCTGTCAAAAAGAGAGAGAGAGATGGGCGCAGTGGCTCACGCCTGTAATCCCAGCACTTTGGGAGGCCAAGGTGGGCGGATCATGAGGTCAGGAGATCGAGACCATCCTGACTAACATGGTGAAACCCCGTCTCTACTAAAAATACAAAAAATTAGCCGGGTGTGGTGGCGGGCGCCTGTAGTCCCAGCTACTCCGTAGGCTGAGGCAGGAGAATGGCATGAACCCGGGAGGCGGAGCTTGCAGTGAGCCGAGATGGTGCCACTGCACTCCAGTCTGGGCGACACAGTGAGACTCCGTCTCAAAAAAAAAAAAAAGAGAGAGAGAGAGAGACAGAGACAGAGAGAGGGAGAGAAGGAGAGAAAGGGAGAGAGGGAGAGA